GGGCCTAATCGCTCTAGATGCTGGGGAGTAAACATCCACTCTGACTGCAGCTGGGAGCTGCTACTCCAGCTGCGTCAGCGTGAGGACAGGCTGCTGTGAGAGAAAGCAGGAAGCAATATCAGAGTCTTCAAAAGCAGCACTGCTCACACCTGCCTTGGTTTACTAATTGAGGAGGACACCATGGACCTCTCCGCGCATCATTTGCCCCGCCCACTTGCTTGGAAATTTTCACATTCCTGAGAAGGCTGTGTGAACAAAACCTGGCCTTGAGCAAAAATAGACATGTGAGTGCTGCCAGCATTGCTGCAGAGGTTGAAAGAACGGGGAGCCAGCCTGTCAGTGTTCAGACCATATGTATCAAATTGGTCTGCATGGCTATCGTCCCAGAAGAAAGCCACTTCTAAAGATGTAAAGAAAGCCCACAAACAGTTTGCTAAAGAACCAAGAACATGGATTACTGGAACCATATCCTGTGGTCTGACCAGGTTCAGATGGTGTCAAGTGTGTTAGACAGCAGCCAGGTGAAGAGTGCAAAGACAGATGTGTCAAGCATGGTGGTGGGAGTGCCATGGCTTAGGGCTGCATGAGTACTGCTGGCACTGGGGAACTAAAATTCATTGAGGGAACCATGGATGCCAACATGTACATACTGAAGCAGAGCATGACCCCCTCTCTTCAGAAACTGCCCACAGAGCAGTAGTCCAACACGATAACGTGTCCAAACACACCTCTAAGACAACCACTGCCTTGCAAAAGAAACTGAGGGTAAAGGTGACCAACTGGCCAAGCACGTAGCCAGACCCAAACCCTCAGTACCAGCTTGGTGGCCTAGCGTTATGAGTTGGACTGCGAGATTAGGTTTCAAATCCCGGTCTGTTCATTCCAAAAGAAAAATGGGACCCAATCATGGAGGAGTGGAAGTGCCACTGAACTCCATGCCCAAGAGTTAATAATGGTGGGAAATACTGACACTTTGAGCACAGTTTAGACATTTTTATTTAGGTGCACTCATATTTTTGCCAGCAGTTCAGACATTATTAGCCGTGGAGTTTTTTTTGAACGGACATCAAATTTACACCATTATCCACGCTGCACACTACATTCCATTAGAGTTTGATATCTTTAGTGTTGTCCCTTGAAATGATGGAATAAGACACAGTCAAACATGTGAGGGGTGTACTCACCTCTGTGAGCTACTGTACAAGACTGAGGAAAAGCAGAGCACTGGTCCTGGGCTGGTCGGCAGCAGCCCTGATGTCAGCAGAGATTGTCGGAGAGTTTATAAATCAGAAAATTTTAAAAATAAAGAGTCATTTCTGTGAAGACTGGGAAAGAACTCCACAATGTCTGTCTGGTCTGTGTGGGGAGACGATGTTAAAACCCCCAAAACATTTTTAACATGTGTTGCAGCCTGAAACCAACCACTAAATATTCTCAGCAATTATTAAACAACATCGTCAAATGTTTTAATCCGGAAACTAAACTCCAGCTCAATGGGGGGCGACAGAGTTGTGGTTTATCTGTAGCTTTCCCACCCCGGAGATCCTGTGGTGTTCCTGCTGAAGAGGATGACACAACAGACAGACTGCTGGGGGAACGCCACCATGTAGGCAGATCAGGGCTCAGAGGTCAGAGGAAGGGTGAGAAATGTAGAAAAATGTGATGACCGCTCTCTTTCCAAGCGTGTAGATGCAAGTTCTCCTGCGCGTCTCAAATCTAAGCTCAGCCTGATGCAGACAAGTAAAAGCAGCTGCAGACAACATCCTCTCAGGGGCGTTTGAAAATATACAGAAAACACTAGTTTGAATCACAGAAAGGGAGTGGTTTTTCTGAACCAACACCAAACTGGAACCAGTCTGGGAGCTCTGGATCACATTAAATAAACATTACAGTTTTATATATATTTTAATTCATAAAGCTCTAATAAAATAATACATCCACACACAATTTCTTTAATTTCATTGTTTTGCAAGCTAGCCTCAACTCATTTGTAGTTCTTATGAGTCGTTTTCTTTTCACCAACTCCTCCTGAAGCTGTCTTTAAAGAGCAAGTCACCCCCCACATCAACTTTTGTTTCCTGATAAACTATATAAATGTGTGTCTAATTGTGCTGCAGACACGTGTCGTCAATAGTTTTGCACTTTTGTGCATTTTAGTAAAAATTTTAACTTTCTGCCTAAAACTGGCAGGGTTGTGCCGTTGTCAGGTAAAAACTCTGCACTGCAGTTGAATTTAAATCTGCCATCGCTATTGGCTAAGAGGTACCCTAGGACATTTGCTGGTACCATATGATGTCACAATGTCGTTGTGAGCCTGTGTGTGTGTGTGTGTGAGTGTGTGTGTATTTGTTAGCAGCTCCGTCCTCTCGGTGTGCTAGGCAACAGCATTTTGTTGAGGGTCTGACCTCATGAGGAAATTACTATGCAGTGATTTTCTCCAAAATGACTGTGCTTAAATTGCTCTGAAAAGCAAATAATCACATCAGCGCCAAGAAACTTCATTTCCCATGATGCTTTGCACACGGAAGCATTGGGTGATGTCACCGCCTAGTACCAGAAACACGTTCTGCGCATGTGCGGGAAGCCGTGGAGCTTTTCCCGCGAACTAAGACCATAAATCTTCAGCAGAGACAAAGAAACCTTGTTCTTTTGCCCAGGATACCTGGCGGTTAGGACACGCTTGTCAACGCTCCGACAACTTGAGCACGCGGAAGCTCTAAGTGCCCGAGTTGAGCCCACGGAACTGCTGGAAACTAAACTGCGAGCCCATCAGATCTGCTCGTTTCTGCTCCCCTCCAGCTGATGTTTGAGGACACAGAACTGCGGAGGAAAGCAACAACTCCATCAAGCACGCTGTAAGTTATAACTCAGCACAGAAAGAAACTTTGCTGTCTCTGTCCAGCCCGTGGAGAAACACTCGTGAACGCCAAACAACGGAGAAAGCATCAAACCGACGGACGACGCCGAAAGCTGCGGAGAAACACGGAGAACCGTCAAATCAAAACAGTGAGGGACGCTTCACTGTTCTGGTGATCAGAAACTCATCTCTTTCTCTCATTCTTTCCTTCTCCCGTTTCCTCTATAGTCTCGAATAAGCAATAAACCGCGTCTATTGCTTAAAAAGTAGCTTCGTGCTTTCCTCTTTCGTCCCAAACACGTCCGTCGGGTCATTTTGAAAGAATAAACTGCTTATTGATCATTGTTTGGTATCTTAAAATGGTTTCTGTCATGGCCAGGCTGAAACTAAAAGATATTAATTTGTGATTAATCTTTTGTGTTGTTTCATGATCTTTTGAAATGTTTTGAGTGATTTAAGGTTAAGTTACTACTGATTCTAAGTGCTTTGGAAGTTAAAGTGCAAGTTGCCACCCACACTTTAGCCAGACAAAGGGGTCAGCCATCTTGTATTCAAGACTCCATTTTGAATCCATACACACGCACACACACACACACACACACACTACTCCTTTGTGAGAACAAAGGACCCCATTCATACATCCTCCATCACATGCAAACACATCCATCTTCAATCATATCACACGGTTATTATTCATCTATTCCACTGTTTATTCATTTGACAAATTGTTAATTAAATGTTATAAAATTCAGATTTTTGTGTCCAGTAGCTTTGTTGTGTCGAAGAGAAGTCTCTGCTCCGAGGATTCTACGAACTTCAAGAAAGACTGATAAGAGTTTTGGATTCATTTCCCTTTCTAATTAAAGGGTGGTGCCCCGAAGATATCTAAGAATATCTTAATTAATTAATAAATCAGTAAATAGTTCCATATTTACAGAATTTATTGAAGAATCCAAAAGTAAGTTAAAGCTTACGAATTGTTCGCTCCTAATAACCCCAACAATTTGTTGTATTTTTCAAACAGGAAGAGGAGTGGGAGAAATACTCTGGTGGGGGTAACTTGCTCTTTAAGTCTTCTATGTTCAGCTGATTGTTCTACGACTTTCTCCCTTAAAGCCGGGCGTACACTGTGCGACTTTTTCACTTTTTTGAGCCGATTTTCCACTCGTGCAAGAATCCACGACATCGGGGCGAGTTTTGCGCCGAGCGGTCGTGTAGTGTACAGGGGGTTACGAGAGGCGATTAACACCACGTGACCAGCTGCCGATCAGCAGTCGTGAGGTCGCACGGACTTCTGGCGTGTTTAAAATTTCGCTCGTCCCTCGTGAGGGTATCGCACTGTTGAAGTGGCGCTGCGAGCAGCTGCGACCCAAAAAGTATCAGAACCGCTCACGGCGCAATCCTGCATCAACGCCGCTCACTATTTCCCTAATAACACACGCTGTTCGTTTTTGTTTCTACACGTTTTTTTACTCACAAAGATTGTCAAGAAAGCGTGTTTGTCGTGTTCATGTCAAATTAAACTGATCACTAAACACAGATTTACTTTCTTTATTTCGTTTTCCTCATCCAACCCCCATAAATCCCTGTGTGTCCTCCTGCAGCACTCCCGAAGGACAACAGGCAAGACAAAAAGTCTGACGTGTTGAGTAAAAACTGCTATTTTTAGCATATTTTTAGGGCCGACGTGTTGCTACCAGACGTACAGTGTGAGCAGTCAGGTCGCATGCGAGAACTGGGTCGTGCAGTGTGAGCACATGACTCGTCAGATCTGCTCTGCGAGGAAGTCGTACAGTTTGAGCTGAAGCTGAACGCTGCGAGTGAAAAAGTCGCACAGTGTACGCCCGGCTTTAGGCAAAAACAACCAGGCTTTAATTCGAGGTTTACTTCGTGTGTGAATCAGATAATATCAAAGAGAAAAATGTAAAAGCCATCAAATACAGATGCGTTCTGATGAGGATGATCGCTAGTGGTCTGGGTCAAGATGAGTAAACATTTCAGACTGCCACTTTGTCTTCTCAGCTGAAGCTTTAGTGCAGGGTTACAGAGTGAGAAGAAGCTAGGATGTGTGGGTTGCCAGGGGCCAAACAGGAGACAGACAGACGGGGTGGGGGTGGGGGTAACGAAGGCCCTGCCGTCTTACTTGGCCGAGCATTGATCCAGAGCGTAGTAGGAGTGGGGCAGCGCGGCCCAGCCAGCCTGACAAGCATACAAGGGGTCGACGGTTTGATATCTCTGCTGCACCGAACTGGACGAGGCAGCAGAGGGACTAGTGGTACAATCCATCCCATTCATGCTGGTCATGATACAACCAAGGAAAATAAAAGAGAAGATAAATGCCACACACACCCCCTCACAAGTGAAAAACCATATCAGAAAAGGAGAAAACTAATGAGGAGGAACATAAAAGAGCTGCACATCACCAACGTGTGTGTGTGTGTGTGTGTGTGTGTGTGTGTGTGTGTGTGTGTGTGTGTGTGTGTGTGTGTGTGTGTGTGTGTGTGTGTGTGTGTGTGTGTGTGTGTGTGTGTGTGTGTGTGTGTGTGTGTGTGTTTGTGTGTGTGTGTGTGTGTGTGTGTAACAGAAAAGAGCTGCACATCACCAACAAGAGGGAAAAGCCCAAACTGTGAAGATGAAAGCTTCAGAGTGACAACCGGTGTTCAAAGCTCACCTGTTCTCCTTCCCGTTGGGGATGACGGACAGGTGATCGGTGTTGTTTCTGTCGTTGCAGACGTAGGTGTTCCTCCTGGTCATACCTGCCGACGCTGTGTTAATCTGTAGAATAGAAACATAAAGTCCTCATGGTCCTGCTGTGCCAGGGCTCGGCCTTTTAACAAGGCTTTGGTTTGGTAGACAACAGCAGCTTATGAATCCGATGGTGATCTGGACACTACTGGGAGAAGTAACTCAGGGTTCCAGTACAAGCCTGTCCAGTCGCTGACTCACACTCAGGCCAGTGGCGGCTCCTTTCCTCCGGTCAGGGATGTCAGCCTTGTTGGGGTTGTTGGCGTTGCCCAGCAGAGGGCTGGAGGGAGGAGCACCTCGGCTCCCTGGAGTGCTGGGTTTCCGGAGCTGGACTCCACCTTCCTCCTTCATGCTGCTCTCCGCGGTGGTGGTCTGACTCCTCTTTGGGTGAGTCATCCCCGGAGGCACGTTCTGACTGACTGAAGGAGAAAACACACGGACAAGTAGGTGAAAACCTGCAGATAAAACCGCTTCACCAGGACCTGATTAAATTGAATGGTTGTGTACCAGGATGTAGAAAAGGCTATCCCATAATATTATATACCAGTTTCTGTATATTTTCAATAGGAAGACTCAGCTAAAGTGAGGCTAACGCTAGCTCACTTCCTCTCCACGTTATGGTTCCGGTCTGTGTTGGTGCACGTTTCCCTTCAGCTACATGATGGATGAAGATCCGTCCTCACAGCTACACGTTGACCTGAGTTTACATGGACCAAAGCGAGAAGATCTGATCTGGAGGATCAGGGAAAACACCTGGCGTGATCTCCTCACCCTGCTCGCTGTAACGCCTCTGTTTATGGTTGGAGGAGGCGCTCCTCTGGACTTTGAGGTGGGAGGGTGACTGGCCGTTGAGCTCGCTGCTGGGTCTGGGTTTGCTGCTGGAGGCAGGATCATTGGGGTCCAGCTAAAAACCAGACAGTAAAACTAAATCACACAAGATCTACAAGCAAATACTTCCTGGTTGGACTAAAGCAGTAGCAGCGTTACTCTGTGATCAGAGCCGTTTCTACGGTGATGTGATCAGATTTGTGATGTCTGTACCTCGGAAGCCTCCTTGCCCAGCAGCAGGTAGGTCGCTGTGATCTCATCATACTTCATCTTGGCCAGAGAGTCCTGGATCTTCTCCAGGTTGTAGCCCATCCCCACCATCACATCTGGACAACCAAAGCATCATCGTGCAGGTTAGGCAGCAGACACATACAAGGGTTGCTTTTCCATTTGGAGACAAAAGTTAGTCAGAACTCAGAGCTGGGTGACACGTGTTCAGGTCCAGCCTACCGCAGCATAGCTGCTGTTATGCAACCTCTCGCACTCACACACTCGTGCACACACTCGTGCACACACAGTTTCCTGCAGGACGAGTCCAGAAACTTTCTACTCTTGTTCATTTATTCATCAGCTTCATCACTTTTTTTCTGAAGACAAAAATAAAGCTGTTGCTTTATCACTTCACCAGGATGCAAAGCACACACACACACACACACACACACACACACACACACACACACACACACACACACACACACACACACACACACACACACACACACACACACACACACACACACACACACACACACACACACACACACACACACACACACACACACACACAGATTTAACACGTTCACACCTGCTGGACACAAACTACAGCCAAACAGTAGAGGGAGATTTCAACCAGAAGGTGTGAACTTTCTGGATTACACAACTACTCTCGTCACAGAGCTCCATTGACTCTTTACCAAGGGAAGAAAGTCCAGAAGATCAGAAGCACGTCTTTTTACCTATTCTCTTCTGGTCCGTGATGTCCAGTTCTGGTTCGGAGTATGGTTTAAGCTCATCCTCCTCAAATCCTGAGTTGATCCATCGATCCTTCATGATTTGCTGCAGAATGAAGGCAGACACTCAGACCGAGTCATAGTTAAACCGTAAACAATACTGATTGTTAAAAAGATCATTTTTCATTTGTTTTATAAGTGAGGTGTCAAGAAGCTGTTGCAGTTGATCAGATCTGTCTGATGTCACTGAGATCAGTGCTCAGCTCTCTGGCTTCTACAACACCAGAAACACCCATGTGGAACACTTCTACATTACTAGAAGCAGCCATGTGGAACACCACTTCTTCTCATTTTCATCTGCTCCGCCCCTCTCTGGTGTTTAGTAAGACCAGTCAACAGAAATAGTCCGTGCTCAGATCGGCTGGACTGACACCGGTGACTCGGTGTAGGCAGCTTCCTGAACAGCCTGTCCTCCAGGACTAGTTTGAACGTGGCATATTTCACTGTCCTACAACAGCGTTTACTATGTTTATTTTCCCATTAGTGTTATAAACCTTTTAGCGTCTTCAAGCTAATGGTTAGCTCAGCCTTGTAAAATGTAAAAATTTTCTTTGAACTGAGGCTGTTTAGGAAGCCATCTACAGCAGGTGAGTGTAACCTGGATGAAGTGGTGATGATTCAACTTCCTTTGGTGCTGGCTGACGTTTTGTGTTGTGTAACAAACTTGTTCCAGCCAGGGTTCAGACACAACTCAGCCTTCTTAACCCCTGAACACACAGGTATAGCGTAGCTGCCGTGCTCACAGCAGACAGGGGCAAACCCATCTGTGCTCTTCTACTCACACCTGCAGCGACTTCCTTTGTAAATCAGCCAGTGACTGCCAGTCGGTGTGCATTGGCGAGCTTGTTCCGGCCTCAACCCTTCTGCACGGTGCCACAAGTTGGTTTATAACATAGGAATTGTATGTTTATTATGTTTATTTATTTGGCAGACGCTTTTATCCAAAGCGACTTACAATTTATAACCTATAGTGCAAGTTGTGATCTGTGGGGGAAACCGGAGTACCCGGAGGAAACCCACGCATGCATGGGGAGAACACGCAACTCCACGCAGAAAGGCCGCAGCAGAGTTTCAAACCTGCAACCTTCGTGCTGCGAGGCAACAGTGCTAACCACTGCGCCACCATGCAGCCCAGATTGTATCCCATAAACTATTAACTGTGTCACATGGAAAGACAGAAACGTGACTGCAGAACCATTTCATTGGTGACAAAAACAAGGAGTCATTATCCAACATCGGGAGGAGGAGTGGGGGCCAGACACACAGGAACAGGACACCACAGGCCTTAGAGGAGATGATGCAGGGGGAGACGCATGGACAGGAGAACATTCTCTGATGATGCAGAAGTGCTGAAGGGAGTGGGGCATTAAAAACTGAGAAGTATATTTACATTTTCTGCGTCCTCCCTCACCTCGAGAGTACCACGCTTGGCCGGGTTGAGCACCAGGAACCGTTTCAGAAGGTTCTCGCAGTCTGTGGACATATAGAAGGGGATGCGGTACTTCCCTCTGAGAACACGCTCACGCAGCTCCTGCAGATGCACATGGACAATGAGAACATGAAAAACTGGACAGTTCTGACGATCGCTTAAGACATCACCTGTTTTTCCATAAAGTTTCCCACAAATACACTCTTGTGTTTTTACCAGCAGAGGAAAGCGTGAAGGAGAGGAAACTGTGGGCTGTCATCTTTGAGAGGAAAGGTAGACACATGATAAAATATTCCCATTCACACTATTGAGATGTCATTTTATCTTAGATGTGTTATTTTTGTCAGCCTGAATTTATACCTGGAACTGAAATGGTCTGTTTCAGTGAAGCTCCGCCCACGGCTGCTCGGACAAAGCCAAGGGGTCATTATGGTCTACATTTTTGAAGCCAAGAAGGAGGGGCTAAAATGGGTTCCACCCCCATCCACTAGGGGCTGGCAGCAGAAGTGGCAGATCCCCATTGAACCCCATGTTAAAAATGCCAACTTCACAGCAGAAATAAGCATGTTTACAGCCTGGTTAAAAACCCATTTTAGCTTTAGTAGATCTAGTTTACATTCATGACAACTCTGCGGGGGTGAACTTTTATAACTCTTCTGTTTACGTGGAATTAAATGCTTTATTAATTAATGAGCATCAGAGCCATGTGACTTCAGAGCTAGCGCCGGGAAAAGGCCTCGGCCTCACGTTAATAGCTGTTCGGCCATTTTGACTCTCTGAACTTTAGTTTTGTCTGTGTTTGTGTTTGGATGTTAATCATGGAATTATTTGGACAAAGAGGCCAAGCTGTGGTTATTGACTGCTGCTTCTGATCAGTAAATACATTTATATTTCTGTACTTATTTTTGCTGGTTGAATGGGGGAATGCAAACATGTTGGGCTGCTGGCTGGATAAGAAACTTGAGCGGATGCCCATCTTCTGTTTCCTGCCTGAGAAGAGTTGCTAGAGCAGGCGGCTGGCTGTCCCTGTTTCCCGGGACAGCCGACGCGGACCTGCTCCCATGCAAGGCTGCTTTTACGCTGGTCAACAGTGGATTTCTGAGGGAGATCACAGAAACGCCGCAGCTCTTTTAGTTTCTTTACCTTTGAGTAGCTCACCTGCTTTTGTCTCGCTGTGAGTTTTCTGGTTGAACGGGGGAAATCCCATGTGTTTGCCATTACACTGCTTGGTCTAAGATGGGTTGGTGTGGCTGCTGGGTATATGACCGAGGATAGAAGAGGCTATCAGGCTTCGCTGATCCACCGCGGTGAGATATCTGCGAGTCGTCTACGGTCGGAAGCACGAGACAGAGTCGTGAGTTGAATCAATGCTCCCAGAGCTGCATGCGTCGACAATGGCGGACTCGCTGATCTTTGACCGCAGTGGTCCAGAGAAGCCCGGTATCCTCGAGCAGCTTACTTAGTTATAACTTTGTTACCAAGCAGGCCGGAGGTGCCTTTATGTTGGAGCCGCACTACCGCGTTTCTCTAGCTAAAAATACTCTGAAAAACTCCATTAGCTTCGGGTTAGCATGTAGCTAATGTCCCGCTGATCTCCGACCTTGGAGAATGAGCTGATTTTTAAGGCCAGGGCTCCCGGTCGCAGCGCTCTGGCTCTGCTTGTAATTTAAGTCCCAGTCCATATTAGATCTCCACAGGCGACCAGCATGACTACAGCCTTGCACGGGAGCCGGCTGCCTGTGCGAGTGGGCTGCCCCGCTGTCCCCGGGACCCTTCTTAGCTTAGCTAAGTTAGCTAGTACCTAAATTGGCTTCATTTGTTTAAAGAGCCTCCTACCAGATGAGAGCGAGTCAAAGCAGATTTGATTTCTGCAAAATATTTTTTGTCTCTGCACATCTTTGTATCCTGTATCAACAAGGAGGAGTCAGCTGAAGGAGAGAGTGGCAGAACACGGCAGGATACCATACCGGTTTATTTATCCAGCGCGTTAAAAAAACAGCATGTGAGCTGACCAAAGCGCCTGACAGAGAACAGTAATTATCCTAGGCTAACAAGCCACTACAGCAAAGGATAAAACAAAGGACATCCAGTCAGCCGATTGAAATAATCTGTGAAACCAGATAAAATACTAATAAAACAATGAAAATGCTAAAATACTGCATAGTGGAGATGCATGAATCAATAAAACAGATTAAAAACTAAAATATAACCCAGTTCTTGATTTAAAACCTAGATAATAAAAGTGGGATTTAAGCCTGGAATTAAAAACTGCAACTGTAGGAGATTGGCGGATTGGGATGGGCAGAGCACTCCACAGTTCAGGGGTAGCATGCACAAAAGCCCGTTCCCACTCGTTCGGTACAACATTGTGGGTTTACAGAGCAGCAAGAGGTCAAGCTTCTGCCGTGTGGTGGAGTCGCTAATGCTAACAGTTAGCTTCTACTTGTCGAGACGTTGTCTGCCGTTTCCTGGACGCTAAACCAACAACAGCCTTCCCTGTCGTAAGTCAAGGTGGGTGAGTCCATGAATGCTAAGTGACAGTGTGGCGTAAATCTGCCAGGCTTTTCTAATCCTAGAGCTTCTATCAGAAGCTAATGCAGGAGATAGGTGTAGGAGACTATTTTCATGTTCAACCTGCATGAAAAACTCACCATGACAGATTTTATTCAGAAATAATCATAAAAAATGGTTTCTCTGTGTTCTACACCTTTAAGATAATTTCACAATAATAATCGCAGTTTTAGGGTGGAGTCCATATCCACACTTACTACCCCACCTTGAGGTTCTGTCCGTCGAAGGGCAGCGAGCCACTGACCAGCGTGTATAGAATGACCCCCAGACTCCAGACGTCCACCTCTGGCCCGTTGTACTTCTTCCCCTGGAAAAGCTCCGGTGCTGCGTACGGTGGCGAGCCACAGAACGTGTCCAGCTTGTTGGCCAGCGTGAACTCATTGCTGAAGCCAAAATCAGCTATCTTTATGTTCATGTCAGCATCAAGAAGCAGGTTCTCCGCCTGTAGAAGGGCATGTTCAGTCACAGGAAAAGAGATGTTTTTTTCTGGTACAAACTAGTTTCTCTGGTTACCAGTTCAGGCCCAAACTCAACCCAAACTCACCCTCATTTAAACAAGCTTTCCCTTTTGCTCACCAGTCAGGACCCGTGGACGGTAATGATCTACAGTGGTGTGAAAAACTATTTGCCCCCTTCCTGATTTCTTATTCTTTTGCATGTTTGTCACACAAAATGTTTCTGATCATCAAACACATTTAACCATTAGTCAAAGATAACACAAGTAAACACAAAATGCAGTTTTGAAATGATGGTTTTTATTATTTAGGGAGAGAACTAAATCCAAACCTACATTGCCCTGTGTGAAAAAGTAATTGCCCCCCCCCCCCTGTTAAAAGATAACCCAACTGTGGTGTTTCACACCTGAGTTCAATTTCTGTAGCCACCCCCAAGCCTGATTACTGCCACACCTGTTTCAGTCAAGAAATCACTTAAATACGAGCTGCCTGACACAGAGAAGTAGACCAAAAGCACCTCAAAAGCTAGACATCATGCCAAGATCCAAAGAAATTCAAGAACAAATGAGAACAAAAGTAATTGAGATCTATCAGTCTGGTAAAGGTTATAAAGCCATTTCTAAAGCTTTGGGACTCCAGCGAACCACAGTGAGAGCCATTATCCACAAATGGCAACAACATGGAACAGTGGTGAACCTTCCCAGGAGTGGGCGGCCGACCAAAATTACCCCAAGAGCGCAGAGACAACTCATCCGAGAGGTCCCAAAAGACCCCAGGACAACTTCTAAAGAACTGCAGGCCTCACTTGTCTCAGTTAAGGTCGGTGTTCACGACTCCACCATAAGGAAGAGACTGGGAAAAAATGGCCTGCATGGCCGATTTCCAAGACACAAACCACTGTTAAGCAAAGAGAACATTAGGGCTCGTCTCAGTTTTGCTGAGAAACATCTCAATGATTGCCAAGACTTTTGGGAAAACACCTTGTGGACTGATGAGACAAAAGTAGAACTTTATGGAAGGCAAATGTCCCGTTACATCTGGCGTAGAAGTAACACAGCATTTCAGACAAAGAACATCATACAACAGTAAAACATGGTGGTGGTAGTGTGATGGTCTGGGGTTGTTTTGCTGCTTCAGGAACTGGAAGGCTTGCTGTGATAAATGGAACCATGAATTCTACTGTCTACCAAAACATCCTGAAGGAGAACGTCCGGCCATCTGTTCGTCAACTAAAGCTGAAGCCATCTTGGGTGCTGCAGCAGGACAATGACCCAAAACACACCAGCAAATCCACCTCTGGATGGCTGAAGAGCAACAAAATGAAGACTTTGGAGTGGCCTAGTCAAAGTCCTGACCTGAATCCTACTGAGATGCTATGGCATGACCTTAAAAAGGCGGTTCATGCTAGAAAACCCTCAAATAAAGCTGAATTACAACAATTCTGCAAAGATGAGTGGGCCAAAATTCCTCCAGAGCGCTGTAAAAGACTCGTAGCAAGTTATCACCAACGCTTGATTGCAGTTATTGCTGCTAAGGGAGGCCCAACCAGTTATTAGGTTCAGGGGGCAATTACTATTTCACACAGGAAAATGTAGGTTTGGATTTAATTCTCTCCCTAAATAATAAAAACCATCATTTCAAAACTGCCTTTTGTGTTTACTTGTGTTTTCTTTGACTAACGGTTAAATGTGTTTGATGATCAGAAACATTTTGTGTGACAAACATGCAAAAGAATAAGAAATCAGGAAGGGGCAAATAGTTTTCACACCACTGTACCTGACCAGGTGAGCTCTCATTGGGAAGTCATGTAGGCAACACACTGTGCTGTTAAGGATACATACACCGAGACAACTGACTGCATCTTGTTATTTAATGAGATGAGGAATAAGACCAAAATGAATTTAAAAGGTCAAAGTTCAAACAGAACACTGATGTTACTGGAGAAGATAAAAAATATGGAAACGAAACCAAATGCTGATGAGGACATAGATGATGTAATCCATCAGAGCAGAGAGCCAACCAGCAGCCTCTACAGCCACAATAACATAGCTGTCGTCTGTCTGGGCTGACGGTGCAGGAGACCCAGTGGTGAGAAAATTAAAGTACATTTCCATTTGGAAAGTTAGGACAGTTCATACATGGCAAAGTCACACAGAGGGGTGGGGTGTGTGTGGTGGTGGTGCTGGGGGTGGGGGCACCGAAGAGCAGACTTGTGAAACGGTTTTCCTCTCAATTAACGCCCTAAAGTGTCTCATCGTTCTTTCTGACTCAGAACTTATCTGAGAAGGGCTTGGGACTCTCCTGCTTGATTAGGGGCAAATCTGTCTTCCAAGTTTATGGAAGGAGTTTTAAATTCTGGCAACATGACAGCAAGGTGCTGTGGCTAAACACAGGTAACAGTCACAGGTCACCACGGCAACTGGCAGCAGGTGAACACGGGTAATGACATCTCTGATGCTGCTGGTGCTACATCTTCAAAGGAGTCTGAGGGTTGACACTAGAAGTGCCGAAAGCATGGGTCAAGCCTTCATAGGGACTCGTTTAGGATCCGATCCAGTATCTCTTCACTCCTTTGTGCATCAATCTGCTGCCATCTTCCCTCCATCTAGGGCAGGGCTGTCAAACTCCGGCCCTTGAGGGCTGCAATCCAGCATGTTGTGGTTGTCTCCATGCTTCAACACCTGATTTTAATCAGCAGGTAATTAACAGGCTGAACGGGAGATTCCACAATTGAATGAAAGGTGTTTGAGCAGGAAAACAACTAAAACGTGCTGGATATGAGTTTGAGAGCCCTGATCTTGTCTAATCTGAAGGAGATTAAACACTTCTGATTAGTGAAGCTGACATGTAGCTGAGAGAACAGAGAGAGGTTTCAGCTGACTGACTCACTCAGAGCCAAAAAGTAAACAACACTTATCAGAGCGTGACTGAGCATCACCCAGACAGGTTTCATGTCCGAGGCTTTCCAACGCTGAGGCTGTGAGAGACTTGGACGTGTCTGAGGAGCAGCACAGCCAGTGAGAGGGTCTGTAGGCATTTTGGTGGTTAAAACTGGACTTTGTCTAATGATTATACATCTGGCACATGATGAGTGTTCATGTGAGCAGATGGACTGCTCGGAGCTCTTCTCTCATCACTCTTTTCACGCAACAGTGAAGAGGAAACACTTCAGCTGAGCTGCATGACGTTCACAGAGTTTAAAACATCAATATTTATATTATATGAAGTAGAACCGAGGAAGTGCGGTTCCACGACTGCAGCTGATGGAGGAGAGCATGTGGTCCAGGGATCCTGCTCCAGGATGAGCAGAAAACTGCTGTACTCATTCTGCATAAACTAGGGCTGAACGATTAATTGCACATGCAATTAAATTGGGATGTGACAAAAGGAGATTTTCTAATCCAGAAGCTACGATTTGACTGGCAGCGAGTGGTTAGCACAATGCTAATATACATGGAAAAACCCATAGGGATGCTAATGCTAATATCACCGATTACATTATTATCAATTACAAATTAGTAAGGTGCCAAATTATTAAATTTGGAGTCTAACAAAAAGTAAAAATCGCAATCAATCAAATAAGTACAGACAGATATTTTAGTAAAGCCAGAAAATCGTAAGAGCCCTGAGCACGGCCACAGTAACATTCTCTAAGTTTCGCCACCTCAAAAACAAATATAACACGAGAATTTATGTCGACTCATATCCTTTTACGATTTCTGTCTTTTGTTTTGTGCCTGACGCGTTTCGCTGCTGCGGAGCGGACTGCATCGTCCGGTGACTTCACCTCACTGGGGCGCGGCACACACTCCGGTGTTTTGGCGGTCGGTAGATTTTTTTTTTACTGCAGTTCAAAGGTAACTCATGAGGTGAAAATAGATGAAGCCAGGCAGCAGTTTTTCTTTAGGACCGAGAGGAGATGCAGGATAACAGACAGGGACTGGACAGAAACAACGTGTTTGAAAAGGAAAACGTAGGTAGATTTATCCCTCTACACCTTTTTAACATCTACGGATATAATTTATAAGCATGTAATATTTATTTATTTGATACAATTCGGATCTCCTTGAAACCTCAGTCCCTCGCAGGACCGTACGGGAGGCTGCAGGGGGAGGGGCAGAGGGCTGAAGCAGGAGAACAGTAAAGATGAAAAAACTACCGTTGTTAGAAGATGTGTGTTTACTTTGAAAATGTGGGCACAATTTTTAATTACTTGTCAAAAACTCTACTTTCTTTAGTTTATGACAATAAAGGAGAGAAAATCACCATTTCCTGGAGATATTTAGTGACTTATTTCCCAGATTAGTTTGAAGCGGTTTCACAGCTCAACATGAGGCTGTTTTGCATAAACAGATTAAGCTGCTCGAGTCTGGAGCAGCTGAACCAGAGCTGCTGCGTCAGTCTGAACTCACCTTGAGGTCTCTGTGAACAATATGCTTCTGGTGGCAGTACTGCACCGCTGATACGATCTGCAGAGGGAAGAGGCAAGAAGACATCAGACCAAGGTCTGCTGCTGAGCTCAAACAGGTGAAGGATGTGTGTGTGTGTGTGTGTGTGTGGGGGGGGGGGGGGGGGGGGCATGTGCCTGACACCAACAGGAAGAATAAGGAACAGTGAGGGTGGGGCCAAAGACAGGTTTTCCTGAGCAGAGGATCTCATCACCTTCTGCTACAACATTTATTTTACAGGAGGAAAAACATTCCCATGATTAGTTTATAATTAACAATTTAAATTGTTCTGCTGTTAAAACTGATTATTTTAATGCTTTAAAGGTGTGGTTCATGTTTTGAATTAATTCATCTGCAGTGGTCTCTGGTGGGAGGGAATGCCTTGTGGGTTGTACTCTGGTTACAAAAAGCCCTGGTGTGCCTGGTTCAGGATCTAGAAGATTGCCAGATCAGAGGAGAGCTTCAGACAACAGGATGTGGAGTCGTACTTCCTGATATTCTGACATCTCTCCTCAGATTGGCTAACAGCAACACGACTCTACCACTGACTGTTTGCTCTGCGATGTTGATGTTTTATCTCCGCAAATAACACAAGTCTGGAGGAGTTTTGCTGTGTGGTGGAGATGCTAATGCTAATGGTTAGCTTCTACTAGCTGAGATGTTCTCTGCTGTTTCCTGGTTGCTAAACCAGCAACAGCCTTCCCGTCATGAGTCAAGAGGAGTCCATGAACGTAAGTGACAGTGTGACGTAGGTCTGTCAGGATTTTCTAACCCTAGAGTTTCACCATCTGTTTTCTATCAGAAGCCACTGCAGGAGATTGGTGTGGTGTAGGAGACTATTTTCATGTTCAGCCTGCAGGAAAAACTCAGAATCAGAAATAATCATGAAAAAATTTTCAGTGAACTCCACCTTTAAAAGTAAATTGCTGAAATCCTCCCTAAGCCTGCGGTCTTCTGCATGTAAAGACTGACAAAAAACCACCTCTAACTCCTCGTGAAGTCCCAGCAGAACAAAATCAGACCCACAAATAAAAACGAGCAGACACTTGGGAGGAAAAACGTGAAGAAGTTCCCACAAGTGAGACAACTTTTGCACAAATACAGTTCGTCAATGACACGCCATGCTCAACGCCTCCTACGCGCTCTCAGCTGTTCACATGATTAACTGTAAATAAAGATCTGAACTTCATTCTCTGTCCTTCCCCTAAGAGTCTTTCCACCAAATTAGTTTTTCCTGTTTATATAAAGCAGCCCTTTTTTTTATCTTTAACGTGTTCACTCTTCTCTGCTATTCTCTGCATTTCAATCAGTGTCACCATCAGATTATTAAAGCGGACCTCATCAGGTAAAACGTCACAGAGGTGTTTGTGAGCGAGGCTCATCAGCACAGAGGGCAGCGTCCCGTCTGAAGCAGCAGAGCGGGCGTGTGAAAACAGAACACTGCAGCAGTACCTGTCTAAATTTAGCTCTGGCCTCTTTTTCCTTCATTCTTCCATGTGCAACCAGGTAGTCGAACACCTCGCCTGGAGAACAAAGGGAGAGAGAGAGAGTGATGTGACTGAAGGAGAGCCAGAAGAGAGTAAACATCAGCTTTTAAAAATAACTTTTCTGTGCAGCTGGCGTTAGCTGCCGCCCATGTGCATGGTTGGAGGCCATGTCTTGATGCAGGCATGAGTTTGGTGTCCTACACACTGAGCCCCTCCTGAAGGCACAAAGCTGTTGCTAATCCCTCTCTCCATCCACACGTTCATTTCTGCTCTAAATGAACTCCAGAAGTTTGTAAATCCAAGTGTACACGCACACGCACACACACACACACACACACACACACACACACACACACACACACACACACACACACACACACACACACACACAGAGAAAGAACAAAAAAAAAAAAAAAAGCAGGAAGACCTGCAATCCAAACGCCTCCTCTCGACTCCCTGAGGCTCAGTGCTAACCTGCAGAGGCGGCTCCAGAAGCGTCCTGCCTGCTCTGACTCAGTAAACGGAGATAAAAACAGCACACAGTCTGAACGACGGGGTTAAACCGGCAGCGAATCAACCCCTCCGACAGCAGCACCAGTAAGTTCTCCGTGTTGTGCTTGAGCTGCCTTCCTGGACCAGGGCACTCCTGATAGCTAGGAGTTCACCTGGTTAAATATATGAATACAGACTTTTATGAGAGTAATTTTGCCCTATTGTTTTAGCTTTAAGCAGACTTCTGATGTATAAGTGATGAATGTGTCGTACTTAGCATAAACACATGAAACTGGGACCTTGAGAGCAGCACTGCTGTGGCGTGGATCCTTCTTCAGGGCCTGAAATTCACTTCTAAAATTAGGGGGGAATTCCCTCCTCACATATGTCTGTACAGGGGGAATTTATATTGGGGGGGGGGTTACCGAATGTGCAGTCTTTTGTTGTTCTAATCATACCTTACATCACGTTTATAAGCAGCTTTCATCGACTCCTGCAGCATTCTCATCTTCATTGCTCTCGTCCCTTTCTTTGTTTCCTCTCTGCCTGATTTCTTTCCTCACACAGAAGTTAAAAAAGAAATATAAACTTTCCAGGAACTACTTGTGGGATTAACAATAGGCCCTAACATTGTTGTATTCTTACCTCAGACTGATGCATTTATTAACCTTTTTAATCTTCCTTTGTGGTCCTCATAGCTGCAACTGTGACCATCTTCTCTTTTGTCTGAATGTTGTCTTTTTCTTGGCCTCTAACTCTGCATCTTTCTCCACTGTAATAACTTTGAAGTATAAAAATCAAATAAAATGCTCCTTTTTGCTGCACTGGTTTTAGAAATTATCTGAACAGTTTTCATCGCTGAAGTTTGGCTGCATCTTTGCTCTTGTTTGTGCTTCTTTATCGGTTGTCTCCATCTTCGCTTCTTACTCTGATTTCTGTCTCTGAATTATTCGATCTCCAACTGATGAATTTTCAGTAACCCATCTTTTAACACAAGCAGTTTCGTTGGTGTGGCATCAAACACGATTGCAACTGTGTACATTATTGTATCTGTTAGCTCACAGTGCGAATTACTTTTGGAGCGGGGCTCTCCCACGCTCCGCTGGGTCCTCTGTCCTCCCTGTCTTCTGTCTCCTCTGCTTCATCTCTTTCCATTTGATAAAAGCTCTGCTGAAATCAAACTGCTCTTGCGGAGGGCCATTTTACAAATGGAGCAGTTCATTTCACCATTATTATTTTCAAGCCAGGGATACAGTCTGAGCCAGTTGGCCTGAAACTTATCTTTAGGCTGCTTGCTAACGTTATTTTCGGTGACGCTACCTTTTTGAAAGTCCGGAGGATCTGTCTCATTCACAGCATCGCTGGAATCAGCGCTGCCTCCCGCCCTGCCTCCAGCCCTGCCTCCAGCCCCTCCTCCCTCGCTGCCTTCTGCGCTGGGGATTTCTTGTAGTTTTTTTGGGAGCAGGTTCCCCTTCGTTGTTAGATTTCCGTTTTAACCAGCGGTCCATGTCTGCGTGCAGGCGTTAAATCCGACAACCGAAGCACTGCTTTGCTGCTAGCAAGGGACTGAGCTCGTATTTTGATAAATGGAGAAAAAATAATAATCCAGCGCGCCGCCAATCACCAAGATGAACAACGGGTTCCATGTTGTGGGATTTTAATGGCTCCGATGCAAACGTCCACATTCGCTGCAGGCTGTGCGGGACTTTCCTGCATTATAAAACTAGATTTGCGAGAAGCGACTATATAACGCGCAATACCCGCAATCCCGCAGTGAATTTCAGGCCCTGTTCTTGGATTCTTCCACAGCTCTTTCTGACTAGCTGATCATTTAATTTTCTGTTTTCATTTTAATATGACTGTAGGCTGGGCGATACGGCCTAAAATCAATGTCATGACTAGGGATGGGTACCTTTGACATTTGAATCGATCCGGTACTAATTCCCGGTACCTACGAATCGATACAGGTACTTAACGGTACCAATTTTCGATACTTTTGAGTGTTTAATTATAAAAGAGAATTAAAAATATTAAATATATATTTTTCTCAATATATAACCATATTTGCTAAATATCACAATAAATAAGATACAACTGTATTTTAACATCTTCCTTGTAGTTTTATAAGCTGATAATTAAACTGAAGCAAAAATCTTTACTGTGAACTAAATTTACTGTGTATCTTCATTCCTTTTGCCATCTTTTTTCAATTGATTTTTCCTACCGGGAAGTTAGAATTTCCGAGGAGAAAGCGAACGCACCATTAGATGATAACAATGGTGGCATAGGAAGCTAACATACCAAGCTAACATTATCTTAAACAGTTTATTTAACTGCTGGAGCAGATTTAAACGATGATGTCTCACGTAGATCGTTGTCGCTGGTTTCATCTTCACCCAATCACCCGTCGGATTTAGTAAAGTGAAGCCAAACTTTAGTGGGCGTTCATGTTCTTCTAGTCGGAAATTCGGAGTTCCGAGGAGAAAGCGAATGCACCATTAGCGGAACGGAAGCTAACATATCAAGCTAACGTTATCTTAAACAGTTTATTTAGCTGCTGGAGCAGATTAAAACGATGATGCCTCACACTTAGATCGTTGTCACTGGTTTCATCTTCACCCAATCACCCGTCGGATTTAGTAAAGTGAAGCCAAACTTTAGTGGGCGTTCATGTTCTTCTAGTCGGAAATTCGGAGTTCCGAGGAGAAAGCGAATGCACCATTAGCGGAACGGAAGCTAACAAATCAAGCTTACGTTATCTTAAACATGTTATTTACCTACCGGAGCAGATTAAGATGAGGATGTCTCACGTAGATCGTTGTCGCTGGTTTCATCTTCACCCAGTTACCCATCACATTTAGTGAAGTGGACCCAAGCTTTAGCGTGCGTTCTTTCTACCATGCTGCTCTGTTTACAACTCGCTCGCAGCGACCGATGACTTAACGCTCTTGTGCATGCACAGCTGTCTAGGCAAGTTCTTGTTGTGAAGGACGGGTACCGAAACGAGGCACCGTTTCAAATGAAGTGAATCGGTGCTCGGTCGGTACCTTAAAAAGTACCGAATTCGGTACCCATACCTAGTCATGACACATTGAGGATTTCACCTCGATAACGATAAATGGATGATAACTATGCAGAAACAAGTTGTCCACTAGATGGGGCTGTCACGTGTATTACGTGTATTACGGTGAGTCGCATTTTTAAGTGACTTAAGGTGGTACAGCTTCTTAAAGGGACATGAACACTGCCAACCTACACACCTTTTCATTTTTGTATTATCAAATTTATTGACATGGACAAATTTATCTCAATAAGAGTCCGAAATTTCGATAATAAATTTTCGATTTATTACCCAGTCCTAATAAGAGCAGAGAACCTTCTCTTTAATGATGAAATGTAATTTATTCATTTGTTTAGAACAGTTAAAGGAACTGAAAAAACTCAAATCTGTAGCCCGACTTCACATTTCATCCTGACTTGGGATTTAGGTGGATGTCTGTAGAGACCTTGTGGAACAAAGGGTTTCCTCTCACCTCCGCTGGCGTACTCCATCACCAGGTAGAGCGTCCTCTCAGTCTCAATCACTTCAAACAGCTTGACTGGAGGAGAAAAGACAGAGGAGAAATACTCAAATCAGAGAGGGAGCGCTCTGGAACAAATTCAGCAACAAGCAGGAAAAGAAAACAGGAGAGAGGAAGTGACATGGATGTGGGAGTGAGTCCTGACCAAATAGACGCAGCAAACATTTACCGTACAATAAAAACACATCAGTTTTCTGCTGCAGCAGCCTGCTGATATGAAGAGTCGCCCTGCTAAATATAAAATATCAAACTCCAAACCTGCTAAATACAAAACAGGTGGGATGAAGAACAGAGGAGGAGGATGCTGAAGCGTACTATCGACCAGATCAGCGTTAAACATCAAGAAATGCTTTTACATGACGAGCGCCACCATCACTAATGCATTCGACGTATTAATGAGATCGTGTTCGTGAAACTTTTTACCAGTTTGTAGGAGCTAAGCTGTACCAACATTCATGTTTACTTCAAGTTTGCTTTACTGTCATATTCTGGTTTGATGTTCTAGAGTTTCAGGACAGGATTGATAAGCTAACAGCTAGTCTGGGTTCAACCAAACTTGCAATGCAGGGCCCTAGAAAGAGACCAGTTTTGTTTGCATCCTTTCTCAATGGTTGTGAAGGGCGGGACCTCACATCTGACTGGATGGACCACAGCCAATCCCATGGGTCCTGACCAACTTAGTAGAGGGGAGCTAGCTAAGCTAAACAGAGTGGAAGTAGTGCAGAAGGAGAAAATGACCTATGACAACGTCACATTGAGCCCTGGTCCAGAGACGGTGTCAGATAATGAGCCTCATGTAAGGGCCAGAGCCTCACAGCCACTGAAGGAAATGTAGTCTAGTAAGAGTAATATTACTTTAATATCTAGGAGTCCAAAATTTACTCAATAGTATTTGGTAGAAGGACAGAGGACAGAGTTTGATTATATGAAGGATGTATTTGATCCTCTATTGTTTTCGATAATCAATAAATTCAACATGAAAAAACGTCATCAGTGATGTTTACATATGATCAGTGTTGGGAACGTTACTTTAAAAAAGTAATTAGTTATAGTTTCTAATTACTTTGTCAAAAAAATAACTCAGTTACTTAGAGTTTCGAGATTATAAAAGTAACTAATTACCAAGAAAAGTAACTGCATAGTTACCTTTTTTATTAAAGAATGCAAGAAAAATGGGTTCCCCTCATAATTAAATGTACTTAATTTACAATGAATGACTACAATAGTGAAATATAAATGACTAATGACTGGAACATAATAAAATGTATGTCCAAATGTTTTTATAAACCTGAATAATTTAAATAAATAAGCACTTAACAGGAGGAACTACTAACAGGAGCATTACACTTATCTAGACTATTAAAAGGTCACTGTGTGATATTTAACAAGACCCCAATCAGCTAAAATTTAAATTTACAAATAGAAACACCTGTAAAGGTTCCTGAGCCTTTAAATGGTCTCTCAGTCTAGTTAAATTACAGAGATGAATGTAATTTTGCACAGTATTCTAATTTTCCCAGCTTCACATAATTGTTTTTATTAGTAGCATTTCTGTTGCTGGTAATCTAGTAACGGTTAAATAAATAAATAAAATCCTTTAAAATGACACTAGAAGAGGCACAAGCCTGATGGAGGACTTACATTTACTAACTTGGGTCAGACCCAACCACAGAAGAGCTGAAGCTGGGTGGTAAACACACACAGGTAGTTCTAATAACACCTGAGCTCCATGTCGTCTGAGACTGATGCATCAGTGTTACAGTGGGACTAAAGACATGATCAGAAACCGGTTACAGCTGGATGATCCAGGAAGGTAGAAGATCAGGACGTCTGAGCGGTGAACAGGTGAGCGGACCTTCGGGACGTCCCGCTGTCACGCTAAGAAGGGCACGACTGCAGATCCACACCTGCAGCCTTAGATATTCATCACGTCTTCCTTGTTCTTCACGGGCCGTGATGAGCTTGGATGAAAACATCTACCTCTTTAGCTCCTGATCAGCTGATGACAGCTTCAACGCTGCTTAACGCACGCATTTTCTTACCAGTAACAGAATTAGTTATAGTTTCTAATTACTTTGTCAAAAAAGTAACTCAGTTACTTACAGAGTTTCGAGATTATAAAAGTAACTAATTATTATAAAAGTAACTAATTACCAAGAAAAGTAACTACTTAGTTACCGTTTTGTTAAAAGAAGACGGTAATTAATTAGTTTGCTCGTTAATTATTTTTTTTTGTAACGCGGTTATTTTAAATTATGATTATTCCCATCAGCGCTCTGTTGTGTCTACAGCAGGCAGCGACTGAGACACTGATGGTCTCCGCCCACCCGGCCAATCATCATCGTGTTTGTAAGTGCGTTACCGACACCTCTCTCTCCCTGGCTGCAGCTGACGTGTGGCGGTCAGAAAGCCTCACACTGCTGCTCAACGTTCGACAAGCACATAGTAACGCACAACCTTCCGTCCCCAGTAACGGTAACGGCGTTGCAACAGTGGGAAAAGTAATTAATTACATTATTCTGTTACCTTAAAAAGGAACGCCATTAGTAACGCCGTTATTTTAAACAGCATTCTTTTAAACTGCGTTATTCCCATCACTGCATATTATACACATTTTTATTCCTAAAATACTCTGTTGAAATGAGGTTTAGACAGTCACTGCTCAGAAAATACACCTACAGAATCACAAAATTATTAGAGTTAATCTTAGAATTATTAGGAATTATCATGAAACATCTGAAACGGTAAATGGCCTGTATTTGCATAGCGCCTTCGTAGGGTTCTACAACCACCCAAGGCGCTTCACAATATAATAAGCCATCCACCTATTCACACGCTGGTGGGGATGAGCTACGATGTAGCTACAGCTGCCCTGGGGCGCACTGACAGAGGAGAGGCCTGACGAACACAGGCGCCACCGGTCCCTCCGACCATCGGCAGCAATGTTATATGAAAATATTTATAAACATTGTAATGATCCATTTGGGGCAATACCAAAAGCTGCTGTAGCCCAATGTTACTGTTCCTTTAAGAGAAAAAAGAATGCTGGAGATGTGGGTTCATCTCCGCTGTTTAATGGACGTCTCTGGACCACTATTAACTCATTCACTGCCAGCCGTTTCCTGATCGCTAACGGCCTTCGCTGCCAGCGTTTCTCACCGTTTTTACTGTTTTTTTAAGAGTCACAGAACGTTGCGCGCTAGCATGATGTCGATGCCAAAACAACCAAATCAAAGAGGAGACTCACCTCTTACATCAGGAAGAGTCCGCGTGTTTCGAGCGTTATCCGTTCTTTCATAATCCGTTGTCGAATTGTGATCGGCAGACGCTTTTCCGGTTCGCGCCTCACTTTCTTTTTTACAGCAGCGGCCCAAAATGATCTCCAAACACATGGATGTGTTGCTTCCTGATCATGTGATCTGTGATGTATGCGGATGAAGATCGGCTTCCGGGCTGAGATGTTTGTTCTCTCAGCGCGGGGGCTCGTTCCGATGCTCAAACAGTAAAAAAATGCAAATGACGACTTTAGTCGTCATTGGCAGTGAATGAGTTAAGGGCAAACTCGGTCTACTGTTTAGTGTAATTAGTCCTCACGCAAAGCTATAGATCAATGAGAACGCTCACAAAAATACACTGCTGCAGAAACCAGAGGCCTTGTCACGGACTTCTTTTCAGGAAGTTTATTTTACTTTGGCAACTTAAGACAGGAAGCACGTACGTTGTGAACGAACCACGGCTTCAGATCGGTGAATCTCTCCATCTCTACTTGGCAGTGCAGGTCTTCTGAGCCAAATGCTCACTGCTGCTGCTGCATCTGGGATACATGCCGCAGCAGCGCTGTTCCTTTGAGTTTTTGTGGGACAGGCAGAAATGTGCGTTTTGAGCATCATTTTGTCTCGTTGATGAAAACTCCTGCACGTCTCGTCGTGTTTTAGTCACACAAGAGCTATTTTTGGCTCATTAGCATCTCATTTTTGTTATGAAGAAAAAAGGGTTGCCAACCAAATCAACTTGTTATCCTTAATGAAAACAACACTGCTCTGTTGGTCCCTCAAATGGCTTGGAAAGTGGTGGTTTCAGGAAGGCCTTGTCAAATGGAGATGTTACGCAGGTCTGGTAAATAACCCCAAAGTTTTGATAGTGAGGTGTAGCATACCCAAGCAGATCATAAAGCCTCCATCAGAAATATACCTACAGTCTCCTTACTGCATTAACCATAAATAAAAGTCTTGTTATTGCAAAAGAAAGAAAAGAAAAGCTTAAATATAATAAAATGAAAAAGAAACTCCAGAGCCGCAATGAGAGCAGCTTCAAGGATGAGTGAGAATACGAGAGACGAACAGCGACCTTTAACTCATTAACTGCCAATTGCATTATTTTACTGTGGGGGCGTCGGACGAGCCCCCGCACAGTGAGAACAAACATCTCAGCTCTAAAGCCGATCTTCACCCGCGTACGTCACACGTCACGTGATCAGGAAGCAGAAAATCCATGAGTTAGGAGATCGTTTTGGGCCGCTGCTGTAAAAAAAGTGAGGCGCGAACCGGAAACGCTTCTGCCGATCACAATTCAACAACGGATTATGAAAGAACGGATAACGCTTGAAACGTGCGGATTCTTCCTGATGTAAGAGGTGAGTCTCCGCTTTGCTTTGGTTGTTTTGGCGTCAACATCATCCTAGCGCACAACGTTCTGTGACTCTTAAAGAAACCGTGAAAACGCTGAAAAACGCTGGCAGCTAATGAGTTAATGACGTCGGCTGCTCAAAAAGCCATTGTATGAATTCATACAGAGATTGGCATTCATGTAAAGAAACCCCTTCATAGTTTAAGGAGTAACAGACAGAAAGCCCCAACTGTGAACACCTGTCTCACTAGTATTAACTTTTCAGACAACAGGACGGATTTCTTTCCATCATCATTTCAGTCTCATCGGACATGTTTGTGCTAAAGTACTCACCTATATTAGGATGATTTAGGATCTTCATTATCCTTACTTCTCTGAAGAGCTGAAAAACAGAAAAAGAGTTGCTGAGCCATCACATCTAACCTGAGGACCTCACCGGTCACTGACACACACACACACACACACACACACACACACACACACACACACACACACACACACACACACACACACACACACACACACAGACACACAGACACACAGACACACAGACACACACACACACACACACACACACACACACACACACACACACACACACACACACACACACACACAAACACCTTTTCTGCTGTACAACCCAGCCAGCACGAGCAGACATCTATTATTGATCAGCTGTTAACTACACCGTGCCCTCGGCCCATCACACAAAGACATAAAAACTTCCATGAGGCGTGAGCAACCACACAGCCAGGAAACACACAACTAAATGTGCCTGGCAGAAACTCTAATGTTTTTAGGTTATCAGGGCTGTCGCTAATGCTTTTTACTGTTGATCAATTATTAAAATAAAGTGATAAAGTGTCATATACCAGAGGCTTTATAGAATCTGTGGGAGCCATTCATGTTTTGTAGTTTTCCTTTTGTGAATGAGCTGGTATGTGCACGCGCTTCTGCACCTCAGGCGATTGGTTGCACCGTGGGTGTGGTTATAAACATATAAATATTGTTTGGGAATTTTGCTTTGTTTGTGCTGGCCTGCATTATGGTGGCGGGGTGAACTTGGGGAGAAATTTCTGATCACCGCTGTCTCACCAATTTACACCTGAAAGATCTGCACTGTCTGTGAGGTATTGTTTGGCATCTAATCACCATCAATCTAAGTAAGTGCCTGCTTTATATAATAATACGACCTGGACAATAAATGATCAGCTGTGCAGTTGTTCCGCCTGCGCGCCATCAGTTAACAACCCCTTGTTTTAGCCTGCCGTGGCTTATTGAATACGTTTTCAAACATACGCCACAACATTTGTCAACAGAAACTTTTTCACCTGTTGAAGCGCAGTTTCACTGTAATGCCGAGACAACTCTGGACGTTTGAAAGCCATTGAAGTCGTCAGCGAAAGTAATAAATGCGCATGGAAACTGCGCAGTGCCATTCATTCATAAATCACCTGCCGCTACACTCGCCCATGGAATGGTTGGAATAAAGAACGCAACTCGCATCCAAGCTTAAGAAATAAAGAAAAAAATAAACAAAATATGGTGCTGTGTTATGTGTGCGGGCAGAAATGTGCAATTTCTGGATATTTCTGAGGGAAATACGTCAGAACGAAGAAGGAAATATGAATGAAGATGAAATTATTGAATCAGAGACAACAAAAGCTTACATTTAAAGCTTTTGAACAGAAACTGGAAAGGCTTCAAGATGAAAGAAAAGCTCAATTAAAATGAATCAAAATTACAACTAGGGCTGCTCAATTAATCGAATTTTAATCACGATTACGATCTGAGTTTTGAACGATTATAAAAAACAAAACAAGCCGATTATTTGCTCCTCCCGCTTGCGCTGCCCTGAGTTGCAAATGAAGCGCTCCTCCCACAGTGTTGCCAACTTAGTGACTTTGATGCTATTTCTAACAGCTTGTCAGACCCCCTTCTTGACTTTTTAAATCTTAAAAGTACCTAGCGAACACCTCAGAAACATCTCTGGTAACCCTTAGCTACTTTCTGGATAACTGTCGTCGACATTTCCTGCAGTTTAGCTAAACACTCCGCCTGTGCTCCGGACCGTTCTTCAGGACATTAGGAAAGGGAATGATGTAGTGATGTGTCAGTCGCTAAAAACAGCTCTCGGAGCCGGCTTCCTGTTGGAGTAACCAGAGAGAGTGACACACACACCGCACCTGCGGACTCCTGAGCCACTAAAAACGGCTAAATGTGCGTGTGCGGCGTGCTAAACACACGTGCAGCTTGCCCCGATTGCTGTGAGACCGGGTTGGGGGGTGGGGGGTGCAGCTGTGGTTGGGACAATTATTACATTAACTGATGAACTTGTAAATAAATAGTTTATAAATAAGGTAGAAATAAGTTACTCACGCTGATAAATAATAACTAATCTCTCTGAGGATACGGTGCTAGTGCACTCTACAGCACCTTGACATGACTCAGTAAATGTTATGCAACATTTTGTGAACATCAATTTATTTACATTTATTTGTTATAAATGCCACTGTATAATTCTTGCTGTCAGTATTTGCAAGATGTTGGTATTTGGGTCTTTACTGGTTAGACTTAAATGAGTTAAACCAAGGTCTATAGCCCTTGGGTCATAGACTATGAGCTATAAGTATATTGGTCTTTTTATACTGGGAATCAGGAGTTCTTTTAGTGATCATCTTGTTTCTTATTTTTGTCCTGATTGTGCCCTGAGCAATTTTATGACTGAATAAAAACATATAAAATCAACATAAATTGAAAAATTGTCCTAAATAATCGTGATCTCAATTTCAGTCACAATAATCGTGATTATTATTTTTGCCATAATCGAGCAGCCCTAATTAAAACCGATTTAATGCAAAATGTTGAAAATGCTGAAAAGGTTGGTTTTTGTATTGAAATGCCCAGTTTGTTTAATGAAGCAAGCCAGCTGCGTGATGTGCTTATTTCTATGATGCCTTCTGAAGAACAGGAAAAACAGAACGCATGGTTTGATGATGCTGAACAGCATAAATCAAATTTTGTTGAGGAAGCAAATAAATGGCTCTTGGAACTGCCAACAATAGCTGATGTACTGCAGAAGCCACAAGAGGGTGCTGTTGAACAAGAATTTCTTCCAAATGAAGAATCAGTTTGCAATGACAATACAACAAGAATTTTGTAAACTGTAATGAAACTGAAAAGCACTGCAGTGGATATTGGTCCAGGTGACAGTGTATCTAATGCATCTAAAGGAAAACCAAAGAAGAGCAGTCATGTTGGGAGCAAGTCTGCTGTGTCAAGCACCTCTTCAGCACGATTAAAAGCAGAAGCAGAGACAGCTGCTATTATTGTTCGTCAAAAATTATTAAAAGAAAAACATGCTATGCAGGAGCAACAGGAGCAATTAAGAAGACAAATGGAGGAACAACAAGAACAGCTATGGAGAAAAATGGAAGAAATGGATTTGGCATGGAACTTGCTGCTTCTATGGCTAAAGTAAATGTGTTGAAGGCTTCTGAAGGTTCTCGTGTGTCAGCTAAATCTGATGGAATGAGTTCTTATTCGCAAAAAAGTAAAACCACACAGTTAAATGTGGATGCTTCCACATTTGTGCCTGCATTTATTTCACATCCATTGCAAACGGATGTAACAAGGAATATTTTACAAATAGGTAACACTGTGATGCCTAAAGTAAAATGTCCTGCTGAGCTCCAATCTACTGCTACAGGGGCCGGTCCGTCAGTGTTACCAGCCGTTGCATTTTAACAATCAGTTCCTCCCTTCAAGCATGATCGAACCACGTCTACAACAGAGAATACCTCTGATCAGCGTTTGGTTACAGTTCTGGAGAAACAGAATGAACTCACATCTCTACTGGTTGAAAAACAATCACTTTATTTGCTACCCAAACAAGACCTGCAAATATTCAGTGGGGATCCGTTGCAATATCAAACTTTCATAAGATCTTTCGAACACAATATTGAAACTAGAACTTCTAGTCATAAGGATTGTTTGTACTAACTTGAGCAACATACGAGAGGGCAGCCTCAGGATTTGGTCCGAAGCTCTCATGGCCTTTGGTGAAAGGAGACGATATAAAAGCATTGCAAGCTTACGGTCTATTGTTACGCGAGTGCTGCAACTCTATGGGAGACTCACTGGAAGACCTGAACGTTCCCACCAACATGCAAATTATCGTGAAGAAGTTGCCTTACAGGCTTCGGGATCATTAGAGATGTGTGGCCTGCGATTTGAAAGAAAAATTCAATCGCAGAGCAACATTTTATGACATTGAGGAGTTTGTTGAGCGTCAAGTCAAGATTGCAAGTGACCCTCTTTTTGGAGACATACAAGACGCACCTGGAACTGCAAGAAAGGAGTTGAAACCTGAATCTTTTCGGACTGTCACAAAACCACGAGGCAGTAGTTTTGCCACCAACATGGCACCTGTGGACAAGAAAATGGAGCCTGTGAATAAAAGTGAAAAGAACACACCTGAAAGGACGTGCATGTATGGAGCTGGACATTCCTTGGATGTTTGCCTTCTGTTGGATAAAAGGACTCAAAATAAAAAAAATGTCTTTCTTGAAAGAAAACAGAATGTGCTTTGGTTGTTTGTGCATTGGGCACAGAAGCAGAGAATGCAAAAGGCTTCTCACCTGCAGAGTTTGTAACCTGAAGCACACCACGTTGTTGCATATCCACTCCAAAACCAGGCAAAAGGGTTCTACACAAGCTAATGGTGGCTCAGAAGGGGCCAAGGAAAGGGTGGTGGTGCCTGTGCAGTCCAGTGGTTTAACTGGGGCCGGTAAGCGGGACTGTACGCTGTCAATTCTGCCTGTCCAGGTGAAGTCTAAGAAGGGACAAGACATTCTGGTCACTTATGCGTTTTTGGATCCAGGGAGCACTGCCTCATTATGCACAGAGCGACTGATGGATAAACTCAACCTTACTGGAAGGAAGCTGGGGATCCTCCTAAGAACGATGGGCCAAGAAAAGATTGTGGACAGCTACATCTTTACAGATCTGGAAGTGGCTGGTCTGGAATAGAACAACTTTTGTGACTTGTCAGAGATCTTCAAGCAAAAAAGTATGCCTGTCTACCGAGGAAATATCCCACAAGCGAAAGATCTTCAATGCTGGCCACATCTGAGGCACATAAAATTAGCAGATGTCCAGGCAGATGTGGATCTCCTTATTGGCGCAAACGTACCTCAAGCACTGGAGCCCTGGGAGGTGGTTCGTGCGGTGGATGGAGGTCCACTCAGAGGAGATTGTCAAATGGAGGACCATTGTGAATCCCTTGAGGTCACAGTTAACCATATCTCAGTGGCAAGGTTGGATGACCTGTGGCAGAAGCAGCTTAAAATAGATTTCCCAGAAACCCAACAAGATGAACAG